TTTAACAAATAAAAGTAATTATTAAAAAATGTATGTTTTGCCAAGATATACATATACATTACCTTGGTACTAATAAGCTAAATAAACAAGAAGAATATTTGAATATCTATGATATGAATTAATATTAGTATATTAATAGTTTTATTTTATTAAGATTTAAGATAATTATTTTACAAAATAAAAAAATAGAAAGATGTTATTTTTTATTTTTTATTAAAATTAAATAAATAAATATTTTCTTATAAAAAAATTAAAATAATAAAAAAAAAAAAATAATTAAATAAAATCATTTTTTTAGTTTTTTAATAAAAATAAATTAAAAATTTGTAATAAACTTAATATTTAATTAAATAAAAATAATATTTGATTAAATATAATTATTTATATAGATTCAAACTTAAATAAATCATTATTAATTTATTAATAATTTTTATATGTTTTTGAAATATACAAAAATATAAATACATAATTATATATATAAAAAAAATTAATTTAAATAATAATGATTTCTTTTTAAAAATGAAAATAATATTTAGTTGAAATAAAAAAAAAAATAGAAACATATTATATAATTAATTAAACATTTGTTAATTTATTACAAAAAATATATAATTTCAATTAAATTTTATAAATTCTTTTAAAAAAAAATTTTAATTATTGTATTTTTATTAAAAACTAGTATAAGTATTATTTTTGACATTTTATAAAGTATTTTATTATATTATTATTTTATTTTATATTTTTTATAATTAATTTTAATTAAAAACTAAATTTTATTATTATAATTATTATAATTATTATTATTATTATTATTATTATTATTATTATTATTATTATTTTTATTATTATTATTTTTATTATTTTTGTTAATTTTTAAACTTTAATTATTTTTTTTAATTTTTTTTTTATTATTTTTTTCTTTTAATTCTAAGCTATTTTTATTATTTATATATATTTCTTCCTTTTTTTTATAAAATAATATAAATTTACTATAATATTTTTTTTTAACTTTTGCATCTATCTTATTTTATTATAATTCTTTATTTTAATTGTATTAATTAGAAATTAAAACATTACATATATAATCTTAACTATTTATTTCCTAATTTTAACTTTCTGTGCTTTCATTTATATTATTTATATATTAACTATCTACTTCTGATATTCGATATAATTATTATCTAATTTTCTAATTATCATTATTTTCATCTTTTTATTCATCTTTGCTATTTTTATATATGTTTTCAATTTCTTTTTTTTACATTTTTTAGATTAAATATAATTTTTTTTAAAAAAAAAACTTTAAGAATATAATTAATTAGATTATTATGGTTATTAATGATATATATTTTATTTTTATTATTGAATATCATTTTACAAATCTTCAATAATTTTATTCAATTAATTAATAATTAAATCTTTCTCCTAATTTCTTGCATTTAACTCATTTATTTGATTTTAAATTATAAATATTTATTTTTATTATTTACCAGTATTTTTATTTTTTTAATCACTTGAATTTTTTTTATTATTATTTTCTTCTTTTTTTTATTCACTTAATGTTTTTGAATTATTATTCAAGTTTTTTTTTAAAAAAACCAAACTTTTTATATTTTTTATTACCATTTATTTATTAAATTATTTGAAAGGGTTATATTTTTGATATTTTTTTACAAATTTTATTTTGTACTAAAATTATTTTCCTTTTAATGCTTTTTAGTCATTTATTATAAACAAGAATTTTTATTTTACTTATAATTTTAATTTGTTTAATATATATTATTAGATGTTTAATTTTAGGAAGTCAAAAGGCTATTATTATTAGCTTTTTCTTATTTTATTTTTTGCTGATTTATTTTATATTTAGGACTACAATTCAAAGGAGCTTATTGCATAGGACTTATTTTAAAACTATTTTTTAATTATTTTTTAAAAATAATATTAATAATTATTACTTTCTTTCTTAAACTTAACTATAATTTTTAATATCATTAGAAAAATTGTCCTGATTTTTATTTATTATTTAATTTAAAAAATCTAAATTCTTGTCAATACAAGGAGTTTTTAAATCTATTAGAATATTTTATTTGTTATAATTTCCTTACTTCATTTCTTATAATTGTTTATTTAAAGTGTCTATTTTTTTCATAAAATTACTGTTTTGTTTATATTATAAAGGGGCTTCCTATGATAAGGACATATTACGTTTTTAAAATAAAGAAGATTTGTTACTATATTTAAATAATTCATTACTAAATCTTCTTTGCATATTCATGTTTTAATTGCTTTTTGTTTATAATATTTTTTTATTTTCTATTGGATTGTCTTTTTAGTATATTTGAGTACTAATACATTGTGAATTATTTAAATTTGGCTTTTTTATCGAGGATTGTATAAAATAAGATGTTAATTGTTATTTCAATGATTTATAGCTTGAAATTTATTAGGACTTTTTAATATTTGGAGTTGATTAGTTACATTTATTATGGTTGTTATTGTATTATAAATTTAGATTTTGATATTAAGATTCTAATTATTATTTTTTATTTTGCTTTTTCATATTGTACGATGTATTTAACTATTTTTTATTTTATATATCCAAATAACTCATTTTTTAAATAAATAAATATATATATATATATATATATATTATAATTAATTTTTGTTTATATAATAAAAATGTAAATTTATAAGTTTTAACACAAAAAAGCATATACATATACATATACATATATATATATATATATATATATATATATATATATATTCATATCATTAAAATATAAAAATCTATATAAAATTTTTTTATTTAAAAATTAATATAAATTTAAAATACAAAATACAAAATTTGTTATCTCATAAATTTAATAATAAAATTTTTAGAATGTATAACTATAATATATTATTTTTTTAATTATTGAATATATTTTCAAATTCTTTTTTACTAATTTTAATAAAGAAAATTTAAATTTATATTAAATTATTTGTTTTTGTAGTTTTTTTGTTATTTAATATCTAATTATTTCTATTTAAACTATTTTTATTAATTTTCATCATTTATTTGTATTTAATTAATATGTTAAATATTTTCTTAAATATAATTTATTTCTTCTTTTAAATATCTAGCCTATTATTTAATAATTAAATTTGATATAACACAAGAAATAAATTTTATTATAATACTTATTCTTGTTATTCTTAAATGTTTTTTTAAGTTTAATGAATTTCATTTTAAATTTTATATATTTTATTTTATTATTCTTTCATTTATTAATCTGTATTTTAAATAATTTTTTAATTATCATTTACCTTAATTATTTTTTTAAAAATAAAATAAAGTAACATTTTATATATAATAATGATAAATTAATAATAAATACATTTTGAAGCTCTATAATTTTTCTATTTAGACAATCATTTAATAAATTAACATCTTCTTACGTAATAACTTCGCAATATTATATTTTTCAAGATCCTCTTACATTATATTTAATTGATCATTTTAAAATTAGATTTATTAAATAATAAAATTTAAATGAGGTAGAATTATACTATTTACATGATTAGTATTTTTAGCAATTTAAATTTCTAATTTTTTTGTAGTTTCAATATTATTAATTATTTTTTATATTTTTTACTTTTTATTTTAAAAATATTTTTTTTTTTTTTATTAAAAAAAAATTACTTTTTATTGTCCATTTATAATATCCTTTATTTATTCCTTATGATCTTTTTATAAATTTTAAAAAGTTTCATTTCCATATTCTTCTTAAATTTAATTATAATAAAACTCTTTTTATTTAAAAATTTAATTAAATAAAGTCTCTACTTAATTATCAAGCCAAGCTTAATATTTATTCTCTAATTAAATTTTATTTTCGTTTAGAATTTGGAGCTTGTTTTATTATTCGATTATTAATTATTCTATAATATTTATCTTTGCTTCTTATTTAGGTTTATTTTAGTAGTTTTTAATTAATTGATCTATTTATTTAATTTTAGAATTGACTTAATTTAATTAAGTAATATATTAGTATTCATATTTATTTTATTCAAATGTTTATTCATAATCTTCAATTTAAGCTAATAACTCAGCCCTTTAAATTAATTTAGTATTCAAATCTTCTTTAATAAATGATTTAGTTTCTAAATATAGATTTTTTTGGTTTTTTATTTATTAAATATTCTCTAAAAATTGTTCTTACTAAAATGATAATTCTTCAAATAATTTTAATAATTTTTAGTTTTTTAAATTAAATTCTTCATATAAAATATTTTATTTTTATTTATTTTAAAATTATTATATTTCAGAATTTTATTTTAAACTTATTTTTTGTTTTAAATTAAAAATAATTAATAATAATAATAATATTTACCTTTCAAATTTATTCGTAATTGATTGTAATAAAATTTAATTTGTTTATAAAATTTCTTATAAATTTTATAATTTAGATGCTTCTTTTTACTAATTCTCATTTATTTTTTCTAAAACCTAATTGATTTCATTTATTTTAATAATCTAAGAATTTTTTTTTATTTAATTCATTCTTTTTTTAAAAGAAAAAATTCATTTGATTTTTTTTTTTTTTTTAAATAACAAAAAAAAAACGAAAATAAATATTTACTGAGATTCATTATTAAAATCACTTTAACATTTTATAAATTCACTAATTTATTTAGATTATTAATTTTATAATTAATTAGATTTATTTTAAATGTATTATTCATTTTTTTCATCTTATTAATATCTGGAAGTTTTTAATTAAAAATATTAATTATTTTCACATAACTATTATTATTAATAAATGTTATTTTAAGAATTTCTCTATCTAGCTGTTTAAGTATAGTCAAAAAAATAATTAAACGACGAATTTTAATTAATTTTTTTATCAGTAAATTACTATTCTTTATAGAACTAATTTTTATAATTTGACATATTATTAATTAAAATTTAAAGTAATAAAAAATAAAAATTTAATAATATTTTTTTTTTTTTTTTTAATAAAATAAAATAAATAAATATTAAAAAATTTTAAATTTCAAATTTTTAAAATATTTATCATTCATTTAATTATAATCCATTATAATATTCCAAAACAACTTTTCTAATAAATTTCTAATCAGTTTTTCTACCCAAAAGAATCGAAGATTATAAAATAGCTTAAGTACAAATCATATCAATTCCATAAATAATATTTTAGCATCCCATATCTATAGCCTATTTTATCAACCAAGTTTCTTTCGGAATATAAGAAACATCAAAAATACAACTTTTTTCTTAAATAAAACTTTTTGGAAGTTCCATATTTGAAATACCAGGAATAGAACTTACTATAAGTGAAAAAAAAATGCCTTTTTCTTTAATAAACAGGTCTATTTCTTCCAAAGATGTACTTTTGTAGAAATAAAGGTCTTCTTTTATTTCGTTTGGACTTCTACTGTATAATATAGTCTAAATTTTAAGATTTTTTAAACAATAAAGAACTGTTTTTGATGTTCCACCAGCTCCTACTAGTAGAGCAAAAGGTTTTTTAGGAAAATGAATTGCTTTTTTTTTCAATAAGCGATAAACTCCATCATAATCACTGTTAAAACCTACAATTTTACCTGAATTAGTTTATAGAATAGTATTAATAACAGGCTAAGAAGGATTAATTTTAACGGCTTTTCCATAAACAAAATCTACATAATGATTAATATCTTATTTAAAAGGCATAGTGACTATCCCTGCATTAAAATCTGGAGATTTAATGTATTTTTGAATTTCAGAAAAATGCTAGACTTCTACTCTTTCTATTTAATAGAACTCTAAGTTGTATTTTTGGAATAAAGAGGAATATAAATGAGGAGTTGGACTCAATTTAATTGAATTTCCAAAAATATAAAATTTTTTAGGAAAAATGTTCAAAGCTTATTTAATTTGGAAAATTTCACTTTTTTACATTTGGCCTTATCCAGTTGGATCGCTTAGATTTTAGTCAAATACTGGAGTCAAATTTTGGTTAAAAACGCGAGTTATTTTGCCTTTTTCACCTTATATAAAACAAATATAAGGAGGTTTTAATATATTTATTATTTTATGGAAATCTTATAATTAAGTATTTGGATTTAAAACTATTTTTTTAGGAAAATCTGGGAAGTATTAATTTAAGAATTATATGTGTTTTTGAAGATTTTCGTTATTTTCAGTTTGGTAATGTGAAGAAAAAATGGGAATTTAATTATTGAATAAAATTTATGAGTTTTAGTCAATTATTAGATCTAATTCTATGTCTATGTAGTCAAAAAGGGAACTATTTTACATTTTTTTAATTGTTTCGATATATTTTGACGTTTATGTGAAAAAACCGCCTTCAGAAATAGTCCTAAGGGTAAAAATTAAGTGAATTTTGGAAGGATTTTAGTGCAAGAATTTAAAAAAGGTAATATTGGCTAAAAATTCTTCTATTTTTTAGGAATTTTCAAGATTTTTTTCGAAAAAAAGGTCTGCTCGAATTTCTAGAAAAGTATAATTTTTAAAAATTTATGTTCTTTTTTCTTCATTTAAATTAAGTATATCTTCATAAAATAAACATAGAAAAGTTGTATTATTTCCAAAAGTGATATATTTGAGAATTTATTTATTTTATTTTTACTTAAAAATTTAATTGAAGACTTTTTGGGATTTTTTAAGGCATATTTCATATGGTAAAGTTAATTTTTTTCCTGAATAAAGTTCATATAGATGTTTTCTTTGATTCAAATCATACCAAAAAGTTTCATCATCAATTTAAGGTTAATAAGTATTTGGGAAAATCCTTTATATGTAAATTATTGATTTTTTAATATATTGTAATATTTTCTGGTTGCTTTCACGACATATTATTCCACCGCTTAATGATATTACCGAATTTTAATATTTTGGTAATGTTAAGGCTTTTTAGGTTATCTTTTTAAAGGCTTTTTATTCGTATTCTCGATAGTTTTCTAAACCAATTTCTTATTTTATTTTTTGACGGTAGTTTTGTTCGTCCCAAATTAAATTTGGGTAGTATTTTTAAAGGATATAATGGTCTAAATCAATATGCATTAAAGAGTATTTTTAGGCGAAATTCCTTGATAAAGTTGTTTTACCAGAATACCTCATACCAGTTATAAAAATAGGAGTTTTTAAAGATTTTTTAGGGAATTTTACGTTTGTTTTTTATATTAATATTTTATAGTTTGTTTCTATATGTTAATAGAATTTAGAAAAAGTTTTATTCACACAATTTTTATTATTTATAATGATAAATTCCTTTTATATATATTTATATATATTTAATATTTATTACTTTTTAAAAGATATTAGAAAGAAAATTAGCTAAAATAGTAAAAGCCATACAAATTCTATGATCATTATAAGATTTAAGAAAGACATAATTATCAAAGGAATATTTTTTTTCTTAAACTAATTTTTTAGCATTTGAAAAAATTTAAATTCCTCCTTTAATTTCACATGCAAAAACTCTCAATTTGGCAAGATTTTTAATAACAGCTTTAATTCTATTACTTTCTTTAACTTTTTGATTTTCGATTCCAATAATACTAAAGCTTATTTTTTAGTTAAAAATAAAAGGAACGAAACAACAAAAAGTAATAAAAATATCACCACAATTAGAAAAATCTAAAATATAATTATTTTGTTATTTTTTTCTTAGAAAGAACTTCCTTTAATTAAAACATTTCCATCTTAATCACTTTATATTTCGATTCCAATTTATTATAGAATTTAAAAAAAAACTCAAAATCACCTTAAATGGAATTTTTTAAGGAAATATTTTCCAAAAGAATATCTTTTTTATTTAAAATTGCATATTAAATATCATAAGAAGTTGTTGCCCCATCAGGTTCGACAAAAAACGAATTATTTATTTTTTCCAAAAAAGAAGATTATTATTAATGCTTATTAAAAAAAAAACTTTAGTCCTTTTATATAATTTCTATTTAGAAAAGTTAGAGTATTTTTAATGTCATTTTTACAAAAGATTCAGAAACTTCTTGTTTTTGTGAAATTCTTATTTCTATTTCTTCAACTTGTGGGAAAGCTTAAGGTAAAACCATTAAAAGTCCGCTCAAAAATTAACTACTAATGTTGTTATCCTTTAGTTAAATTACTAATTTGGTCTATGATGGTAGATTTTACTTCTTTTGGACGATAAAAGGGAAACAATAAGGATTTTTTAAATATTCAAAGTCCAGAAAATCCTCTAAAACTTCCAGAAGTCCCTTCATTGGTCTTTCTTCCATTCTCGGATCGCTTTTAAAAATAACTTTTTATCTATTTTCATCCAATAAGAGCATAAATGAAGTCATAAATCTAGCCGTAGTACCAGAATTTCCCACGTAAATTTCCTTAATCCCCTCAAAAGACATTTTTACTTATTTTGTTTTGAGCAATATTTCCCTTTTTTCTTTGTTTTCGGAGATTTCGCATACTTAGAGTACTTTTAAACATTCGGACATTATAAAAATATCTTCTCCTTAATCTAAAGAAGCATTTTATATCAAAATTTCGGTATTTTTTTACATTGAGGAAATTAATAAAAGCCTATTAAGAATAGATTTTGAACCAAAATGTGGTTTTAGTTATAAAAAGGAAGGTAAATCCTAATTTTTTTTGACAAAAAAAAGATTTTCTTCTTATTTATTCAACAAAGATAGAATTTCTTAAGTTTTTACTTTAAAAGTTTAATCAAAAAAAGCTTCTCCAATTTTTTTTATAAAAATAAAGTCAAAAAAACTTTTTATTCCTTCTTTTTATCATTTTACATATATTATAAAACTTTATCAGAGTCCAAGAAATCCGGATATTCAACCGGTAATCCATATTTTTCCAAAAGCTCCTTTATTTCTTGATCGAAATCTTACTTTTAGATATTTTAGCTAAGTTTATTAGCTAAAACTATTCCTATGGATACTGCTTCTCCATGCAGTAGTTTGCCTTTGGAAGCATATTCAATGCCGTGGCCTAAAGTATGCCCATAATTGAGTATTTTCCGAATATTTTGTTCATATTTGTCTTATTCAACTACCTATAGTTTCAAAAAAATAGATTTTTTAATAATTTCGAGAAGCTCAAGTTCGTTTTATAGAAGTGTTTTTAGAGTAAATTTTTGTAGTTTTTGAAAAAAAGGGAGGTCTAAAATGCAGGCCATTTTTATAATTTCTGCAAATCCATTTGAGAAATTTCTTTAGTCAAGAGTTTTTAAAAAATAAGTGCTGATAATTAAAAAATGGAAATTATAAAATGTACCTACCATATTTTTTCCAAATTTATTATTTATTCCGTTCTTTGATCCTATGCATGCGTCTGCCATGCCTAATATTGATGTCGGTATACTTATATATTTACAACCTCTTTTATATATAGAAGAAGCAAAACCTACAAAATCAGTTATTAAACCACCTCCTAAAGCTATTAATGCATCATTTCGAGTAAAATTATGGGAAAATAAGTAATTTAATAACCTTTTTACGGATTTAAATTTCTTGTTTTATTCACCGCTTTTTAAAATGAAGATCTCAGGATAGATTTAATGGTTGTTAAATTGAGATTTTAGGTAGGGAAGATATAGCTTTTCGATATTTTCGTCAGTTATTATGCAGTATTTTTAGACTTTGGTGAATCGGTGGAGAATTTCAGATACTATTTGTAAAGGGTTTTATATAAATAATATGTTTGGATAATCCATTTTTATTTTAATATTTAATACTATATTTTTTTAAATTTTATTAGTTTAAGATTTATATTTTTAATATTTTTTATTTGTAATAAATAATTTATTGAAATTAAATATATTACATTTTAAAATATATATATATATATATATATATATATATTTTAATTATCAAAATATTATATTGATTAATGTTTTTTATATATATAATTTATTATTTTAGCATTTTAGCGAATATATTTTTTATTATTAATTTTGTTCATCTATAAATCTATAGATTATTTTAACAACTTGATTTTTTTTTGAAATATAAAATTATTTTTACAAAATATATATTTATTATAAAAAAAAATAAAAAAAAAATATTTTTAATTTTATACAAATGAATTTTACCTAAATTTTATTTATTTCAAAATAGGATTAAAAATTATTTTATTTATTATTAAATTTTTAAAGATATTTATAAAACTTTAAAATAAGACTCTTTTTATAAACTTTAATAATTTATTTTTTATTTAATTAATAATTTTCATTTTTATTAAATAAAATAGTTTCATATATTTCAATTTTTTTGAAAGATAGACTAATATCTTATTTTATATATATAGATTTTATTTATAATTATCACCGCAAAGCAAATAATATAAATTAATAAATTAATTAATTTTTTTTTTTTTTTTTTTTTTGATCATTGAAAAAAACAAAAAAAAAATGAAAAATGCATTTTATTGATTTTAATTTTAATTATTATTAATAATATTAAACTAGTTTTATATATATTTCTAAACTTTATGTCATTTATTATTATTTTATTTATATATTTTTATATTTTATCATCTTAATATTCCAAAAATTAAATTGAGTCTTTAAAAAAATCTAAATTATATTATGTTTATATATTTTTATAAGACATGGAAATTAAGTCTATTTTTATAAAATATATCTTTTATTAATTAAATACAAATACAAACAATTATAATTTATCTTTCATACTTATATTTAATATAATTTGAAATAAAAAAATATCTTAACTTTTTTTATATATATATATATTAAATAAAAATAAATTCAGATTGTTTTTAAGTTTTTTTTTTTTTTTTCAAATAATAATATTAAAAAGTTTAAGAAAAAATAAGGCAAAAACCTAATATAATAATAGTATATTATATAATACAATATTTGTTTTTACTTAAAACATTAAAAAATTTTAAAATAAAATTTCAAAATAAAAATTAAATAGGATAAAAAAAAAAATTAATATTTTAATTTTATTTAATATTTAATATTTTTTAAAAAAATAATATATATATAATGTTTATAAATAAAAATAAATTAAGTTATTTATTTGAAAAACTTTATTTTAATAAATAATATAATAATTTAAAAAGCATAAATAAATAAAAAATAATTATATTTTTTTATTTTTTAAATATAATAAAGTTGATTTATTATAAGAAATTTAAAAATAAATATATTTTTTTTTTAAATATTATTTTAAATTTTAAAATAATAATATTTTAAAAGATAAATAAATAAAATAAAAATCTATTTCTTTGTTATTATATATTAATATAATTTTTATATAAATTGTTTTTTCTTTTAAAATTTAAAAGTATATTTCTTTATTTTTAATATCTTATTAATTTATTTTATTATTTAAATGTACTTAATTTAAATTATTATAATTTTAATTTTTCTTATTATAAATAATATTTCTCAAAAATAAAAAATTCTAATTTAGATTATTAAAAAAAAACAACAAAGTATATATATAAATAAAATAAAAAGTTCATACTTATTTAATGATTATAAAGAACATAAAATACAATAAATGAAAAAAAAAAATATTTGATATATAATTAATTTATATTACTTAAAAAAATATAATTTTAATTTCATTTAAAGCATAATCATTTATATACAAAAAAAAGTTAATATATAAAAAATAAATTATTTCACAAAAAAAATATATAAAAAAAATATATAAAAAAATATTAAAAAGGATAAAATGTATAGTTCTTTAAAATATAATTTAATAGATTACCAATATAATTAATATCCAGTTTTATTATTAAAAAAGATCGTAAACCATTAATACAATTCCAAAAAATAATACCATAAAATTAATTAACAATTCAATTAAAAAACGAGTAATTATTAGATTTATTTCTTCTTCCATCTTAACATAAAACTGATGAAGAACTAGAAGATTTTACAGCATTAAATATAGTAAAAAATTGTCAATAATAAAACAATAATCAATCAAGTCCGCATTCATCAGGAAACATATAAGTTTAAGATTAAGAAATGATTTAAAATGATTCAAGTACCCATTTGTAACAAATAAGATAAAAATTATAAAATTAACAAATGAGAAATTTACATAAATTAGGTGACGTTTAGGGCCTAGCAAATCTTTTAAGAGTCGACATTAGAACAGGAATTAATATTAATAATGAAAATGATATTGCCTAAAGAAGGTAATTGTATGGATCTAATAAAATTGCAGGAACTAAATAAATTAAGTTTAACTAAATTTTGAAATTTAATATTGAAAAAAATCATTCTTTGATAATTTTTTTAATTTGCTTTTTTTTTCTTTTTATGGAATTTGTTTAAATTAAATATCTCAAAAATAAAACTGAAATTGTTTCAAAAAATTTAGATTTAAATGTATAGATAGGAACTTTAGTTATGCTTTTTTTGAGTATTATAATAAATACAATCAAAAGATGGAAAGACGATCGCGATTACAATAATTTAGTATTCCAAAACACCGAATATAAAGTAAAAGTAGCAAGAAACTCTCTCGTCTAATATATAAAATCATCTTCATTAGTAGTTGGAGATATTTTATTAATAGAAGCAGGTGATATAATAAATGTAGATGGAATTCTTTTAAAATCAAATGATTTAGTTGTCACGGAATCCCCTTTAGTAAGTGCAAGAGAAGGTTTAGCAAAAAGTGCACATGAGAAAGGCTAAATATATATAGATTGCTTTATATATTCGGGGTCTTAAATAATGATGGGATAGGGAGAAATGCTGGTTTGTAGTGTAGGATAAAATACACTTGTAAATAGAGTTTAATAATGTTCAAGTGTTACTATGCATAAAAATTTTTTAAATGAAAAATTGAAGGATATTGAAGGAAAAATAAAGGCGACGGGAACAAAGTGTCTATTTGTATTTTTTGTATTTATTTTGATAAAATATTTATTTTGGAAAGGACAGAAATTTTGCTGTTTGAACTAATAATTTTGGTTTTTGATTTAAGATATGTTACTTTCAGCTTAAATGTTAGTTGGGGTTTCATTTTATTTAATGTAGGAAGGCATAAGTTAGGCTTTTCATACTTATATTTGTATTGCAATGTAGTTTTTATCATAAAAAGATATCATTATAAAAGATATTTAAGCTTTTTAATGGTTAGGGTTTGTAGATTCGATTGTAACAGATAAAACTGGATGTGTCACCAAAAATATCAATTTCGTGGAAAAAATATATGCAAATGAATAGGAGTATTATAATACTTATAGTAGTATGAATAAAATTAGTATTTATTCAAATAGATCTTTAGAAATTTTATGTGAAAATATTTGTATTAATTCAAGTGATATTCTATAAACTGATCGAAATATGGTTGATAAAGTTGGAATTTCTATAGAATCAGCTTTACTAGAATATGCGTTTAAATTAGGCTATGATTATGAAAAATATAGGGTTTCTTCTAGAATTAAAAAGGTTTATCCATTCAATTCTAAATAGAAAAGAATGATTACTGTATATTTGAAAAAATAAGGGACTTTAAGGGTATATTTCAAAGGCTCACCGGAACTTATATTGGATAAATGTACGGAGTTTAGGAATAAAGAAGGAATTAATTAAAAACTAACACAGGCTGTTAAATAAATCATTAGGGAAAAAATAAATTAGTTTGGAGCTGTCGAGTCTCTAAGAATAATCCTTTTTGCTTTTAAAGATATCGAGTATGATTCTTAGCATATTTATAGTGAAGAAAAGCTTAATTAAGATCTTATTTTTCTAGCTCTTGTGGGTATTAAAGATCCTTTTAGACCCGATATTCCGGAAGCAATAAAAAAATGTAAAAACGCAGGAATCACTGTTAGGGCTTTGACTGGAGATAATAGAGAAACTGCGATAGCAACAGGAAAGTTAATTGGACTTTTAAATTAGAATACGGAATATAAGGAAAATAATATGGCAATTTTAGATGGGGAAAAATTCCAGAATTCGATTAGTGGAATTGGATAATATACTAATAAATTTGGAAGAGGATAAATTATGGAAAAAATAAGAGATATTCATAATTTTGAAAGACTAATTAAAGAACTAAGAATTATTTCAAGAGGTACTTCAAAAGCTAAGGATGCTTTAGTTACTGGATTAATGTATACATTTTAAATATTAAATAAATTAATTATATATTTTTTTATATAAAAGATAATTAAAATATATTGTAGCAGTTACTGGAGATGATACAGCTGATTGTTAAATTATGTAAAAAGCTTAAGTAGGTATAGGATTAGGTTTAAGTGGAAATGAAGTTGTTAAATAAGTAAAAATATATAAATATATGTATAAATATAAATATATATATATATATATATATATATATATATATTAAATATTTTTTTTTAATTCTTATTCATAATAATTTTTTTTAATAACAAAAGGCAGCTTATATAATATTAAAAAACGATTCTTTTTCTTCAATTATTCCATCTATTTTATATGCAAGAAATATTTATTAATTTCTACGTAAGTATTTTTAGTTAATACTATCTTAAAATTATGTAATAATATTTATACTTTTTATTACAATATTTTTCTAAGGATAATTTTAGCCTTTTAATTGTGCATAATTCTTATTTATGAGTATTTTATTAGATGAATTTGCTGCTTTTATAATGGCAAGAGAAGAACCTTCTTAATAATTATTAAAATAACCTCCAATTTCAACTAAGGAATATATTATTACTAGTGATATGTGGAGAAATATTTTCTTTTAAAGCCTTTTTTAGATTTCTGTTATATCCTTTGCACTTTTTATTGATATTAATTCTTTATTTAGAATTTCTAATACATTTACTTCTATTAATTAGAGTCCTTAGGCTAAATTTACTATTTGTTTTAATAGCTTAGTTTATTTTTAATTGTTTAATATTCTTTATTCGGCTAATGTAAAGAAATATAATAATGATAATTATGGAATTTTTTGGAGAAAATTCATTATATTTTTGTAAATTTCAGTTCTATTGGCAGTTTATTTGATTATATTTTATAATTTTGGTAAATATTTTGGATGTATTTAGCTTAAATTAGGAGATCATGCATTATGCTTATTACTTGGATTGTCAAATATTGGACTTTTCGCTTTTGTTTTTTAAATTCATTCTAAGTTTTTTTCGAAATTTAATTGTTTGAAATACACTTTTAGTTTAAAATGATTATTTATGTTAATTTCATTTTTAATTAATATAAAATAACTTAAATGTAAATTATATTTTTCAATTATTTTTTTATTTTTTTTTTAAAAAAAATATATCCATATTTTTTTTTTAATTATAAATCAAAAAAGAAGCAGAAGCACTTTTATTATTTTGAGTTTTTTTTTTTTTTTAATCTAAAAATTATTAATGTCTATTATATATTATCTATTATTTATACACATATTATTTATTTGAAATTTCTTGATATACTCATAAATAAAATAAAATATAAAAAAAATATTTATATAATTAATTAAATTATAGACTTCTTGATATGTTTTTAAATTCCAAAAAATACTTTATTTAAAAGGAAAGAGTAAAATATATTAATAATATTTTTGAAATTATTATAATAAATTGAATTATATTTAATAAAAAAATAATATTTCTTTTTTTTTTTAAAGATATTAAAGTTAATAATAAATTAAAAAAATAAAAATAAAATGTAAACTTCTTTTTTACAAAATGAAGACTAAAATAGAAAAATGTCATAAACATTTAAATAAATATTTAAACAAAGCATGCGTAAAATATGCATGAAAATAATATTTAATATAATAATGGGATTAATAACATTTTAAATATAAATTTATAGTTAATATAAATGCAATTATAAAATATCTGATCTATAAGTATGGAATTTGTAGTGGATGATATTCTTTTTTTATAATGCATTTTATCATTTCTTAATATTGATACAATTTTTCTTCCCTTCGTTAAAAATATACATTTGCTAAAAATTAGGGGAATACGAAGAGGAAGAATAATAATAAATTCCATTATTAAATGAAGAATAAATATATGAATTATAAAAAGATTTGACTTATTATTATTATAGAAGAAATATGTGTTTAAAGTTGGCTTTTTTTTTAAAATAATTTATTACTTTGTCTTATGCAATTTATGGATTATTAGTTTTTTTAAAAGATGATTATTATGATTTAATGATGAATTCGTTTTTTGATTCTAATTCTAATATTAATACTTGTGAATATTTTCTAACTTTGTGGTCTTTTTTTTCGATTTTTGCTATTATTTTATTAAATAAAAGTTTATTTGACTTATTACTTTTTATTATTATAGGTATCTTTTTATTTATTTTTATTTAATATATTAATTTTTTATTTTTCTAAAGTCTTACCAGTAATTTTGTGCTTTTATATCCCATATTTAATTTATTAAAGAATAAGAAAAAGTAATAAACTAAAATCTTAACTTAAATAATTTGAAATTTTGAAATATTAAAAGGGAAACAGAATCGTTAAAGGAGATACTGAATGTAGCATTTGTAGAATGTACTATATAATTGATGAAAACATAATTATTTTACCTTGTAATGAATTACATCATTTTCATAAGGAATGCATAGTTTCGTGGCTAAAAATTAATATGTCATGTCCTTTATGTAGGTATGATTTTTCAGAATAAATAGAGTGACTTGTGATTAATTAAAATATTTTTTAATAAAAATATAAATTATAAAATGAATCTAAATTCATTTATTTATTTTGTTTTTTATGTTTTATTATTTTGTATATTTAATGTTTATATTTTTTTATGTTAATAATAAATTTAAAATTCAAATATATATATATATTATATAGATGAATAAATAACTAAATAAATATGATGTATACTTTTTGAAAAGTAATAAGTAATTTCAAAAGATATTTAAGATATATTTAATAAATAATATATATTATAATATTTTATATATAATTTTTTTTATTAAGTTCACTTTTTTTTAAACTATTTCGATTATAATTTTTATTTTTTTTATGCCATAGTTTATTTTTATTATCTTACTTACTACTAATTTTAATTATTATTTTAGTCTATACTATTTTTTATTGTTCCCATTATTTAAAAAAATAATTATTAATTTTTATCATATAAAAATTCAAGTTAATCTTCTAAAATAGAATCATGAAATTATTTTAATAATTCAAAATTAGTTTATATTAATAAATTTTATTTATTTTTGTTGCTTCTAAATTTATTTAAAATAATAATAATAATATATTTAAATTAATATATAGTACATTAATAATTAATCAATTTCTTTTTGCATTTTTTAAGCTATTTACATGAATTAGGCCTTTTTGAGTCGTTATTATTTAGTGAGTTCTATTTTATTACTTTTTAAACATTTTGCTTATTAAAGTATTTTCTCCATATCTTATTTTATATTTAATAGCATTTCCTTTTTTTTATATTTATTTTTATGTAAACTTGAGATTGATATTGTTAAAATTTACATTTTAACTTAAATTGTCTTTCTATACAAAATTTTATTCACCCTCAATTTATTCTTGAGCAATGTTTCTGTTTTTTTTTTTTTAATTAAAAATAAATATAATTACTCATTTTATAATTATTTCTATTTAATCTCTTCTTATTCTTTTTTTATACGTTCTTATTCTTTTATTATACGTTCTTATTCTTCCTATTATAAGAGTTCCTCTTGTTTTAATAACTCAACTGCTTTTAAAATTGGATCATCTTTACAATTTGGAATATATTCAAAATATTCTGTTTCATTTCTTATTAATGTTTTTATTTTAATTTTTATAAAAAACTCTAATTTATTTTTAAAGTAAATATTTTTTACAATGATTATTCCAAAATGAAACTCTATAAATTACTACCTTCTTAACTAATCGAGCTTTTACTTTCATTAATTCTGTTTTATAATATGTCTTAACTTTATTGAATAAATTATTTAAAATTTAAAGCTAAATACAAAAATAATTAGATATAATCTTATTGTTTAAAATAAATATTTACATATTTTATCATCTTAGAAATTGTTTTCTTATTTAAAATTATTATTTTGGTTATTATATAAATAATTGCTTTATTCATCACTTATTTAACTTTATTTTTAAGAATTTTCTTAAATCTAAATTTTAATTTTTTAATCTTTTTTTTAATTATTTGTTTTTTAGTTTTTAGAAATTTAACTAGCATTCTCTTACGCACTATCTTTTTCATCTATTTAATAATTACTTTGGATTCTCTAACTACTTAGATTTATATATTAATTTTTATTTGTTTAAGTTAGAAAATTAGGATTATTTTAAATCATCTAATAATAATTATTCCAATATTATATATATTACTAAGTATATTAATTTTGAATTTAATTAACAGAGTTAAATTAATTTGCCTATGGATTTTAAAAATATTAATTTTAAAGTGTATTTAATTAATCATTATGCATATAATTATTGACTAGATTTTATTTTAATGTTTATTAATGTTGCAAGTTTAATGCACTCTATTAAATGTTTATTAATTTTGGCATCTTTTATATTGCTTAGTCAATTTTACTACTATTCATTTTTTTATTATTAAAATCCTATATAAATCTATAAAAATAAATAATTAATATTTTTAAATATAAAAATTTAAATGATTTTTTTTTAATATTAAAAAAAATTAAAAAATAAATATATAATTAATAATAATTTTAATTAAAACATAAAAACATATCTAATTTTTTACAATTTGTTTGATTAATTTTTTATAATAAAGCTAATTAATAGCAAATTATATAATTCTGTTTGAAAATACATAATACAAATTATAAAAAATATAACTTTTTAACATTTAAGGAACTTTATATTAATTTTAATTTTTGTTCTAATAAAAATTTTAGTATATAATTATAATAATGTACATAGTTAATATAAATTTTAATCAAAATAATTATTAATTAAGCATTATTATATGACAGATTTACTTATGGTTAAAATTTTAAAAAGTCTGATTTTCAATAATTTTTTTAAAACTTAGTCTACTGTTTAATCTTTTTTAAATAGTTTTTTTTTTTTTTTTTAAGGAAAAATAAAATTTTATAAAATTATCAAAAACGCAATTTATTCAATATGGTTATCTTAATTATTGATGCTACTTTTTATATTTCTAAAATAATTTGATTATTTTAATCATATTAATATATTAATTATTATATTTTAATAAATGGTTGATTATTGAAAGATTTTTTAAATCGAAAACTTTATTTCTATTTAGTAAATTTTATTAATGAAAATAAGTTTAGAAAATTTAAAAATCATAAAAAAAAGAGGAATGTTTTTAACTTTATATATTTTTATAAAATTTTAAAGTTTTATATTATAAATAAATCAATAACTTTTAAATTCTTTAAATGAAAATTATATTAATTGTTATATTTTGAGAAATAAACATAAAACATATTTTAATTAATTTAAAACTAATGTATAATAAATAAATAAAAATGTAATAAATAAATAAAATTGAAATTTTATTTATTCATAAATATTGTTTTAAGTATATAAATATTTTTGTTTCAAATATATATTTATTTATTTTTTAATTAAATTTGAATTATAAAATATTACTAATCTTAAAAAAATAATTAAATAATAAATATTTAATAAAAAATGGAAAATATAGTATAATAAATAGAATGGAATTTAGAGCCCTGGGATACAAGTGATTATAATTAAGAAAATATATTAAATAAAGATTTTAATTATGAGACTTAGAAAAAGGAAATAAAAGAAGTTCCAAAAAAATAAACGTAAAGAATTTATTCAGCAGATGTCTAAAGAAAATAAAAATCAAATAATTAATAAAATTAATTATTCAATAAGAAAATTTAACTAGAAAAGGAAAAAGAAAAAGATAAAGATAAAAATAATAAAACTAATATAAATAATAATTTAAATAAAAACAAATTTAATAATTATTTAAACAATATTAATAACATAAATTACTAAAATAATAATTATAATTTAAATATTAATAGTAAAAAATAAGATAGCAATATAACTAATTTATTTTCGAATTATTTTAATACTAACGAATAAAAATCAAGTATAAATAAAAATAATGAATTTGGTATAAATATTAATAAAAATCATATATTCAATATGAACAAAGCAAATACTAAAAATAATAATAATGAATCAAACTTAACTAATATTAAAAACTTAAGCAAAACAGTAAGAGTAAGTGCAATAGAAAACATAATCAATATAATAGATGATTTCAAAACAGATAAAAAAGTTGTAAAAAAAGAAATATAAAATAATAATAAATATGTAAAGCTAAAAAAAATATAAAACTTTAAAAAAAATTAAAATTAAGTAGAAAAAAAAAAATTATTTGAAATTAATTTAAATTAATAAAAAACAATAATATAAATTTATAAAAATTTAAATACTGAATAAAATTAAAACAAATGTATTTTATAAAATCTACCTTAAATATTTAAAAATCTTAATGAAAAATATAAAATAAAGAATTATCTTTTAAATAATTCATAAAATAATAATAACAAAGATATATAATAAAAAGAAAATTAAAAAAAAGATTTTTATTAAATTTTTTGATATTATGAAGAATAATATTTAAATAAAAATAAATATAAATATTAAAATAATAATAAGTATATTCGATTTTTTATATTATTAAATTATATATTAAAAATTAAATTTTTAATGTTATTAAGTAAAATATATATATAAATATATATATATATATATTATTATATTTTTCATTTATAATTTTATTTAAATTATATATTTATATTTTATTCATGTAATTTTTTTTTCTAGTTATTTATCTAATAAGTAAATTTGGATAAATTATTGTTAATTTCCTAAAGTTCATTTATCTTTCTTTTATATATATATTTTAATTTTACAAATAAAATAAATATAATACATATCCATTTCTTGAATTTCCCTAGTATTAATATACAAGTTTCCTTACATTTATCTTAACTCATGTTCTAAATGATCACATTTACATTTAAGTGCATAAATCTAAATTTTATATAATTTAAAATTTGTTGATTTTTTTATATACAATTTTGCCATCTCCATTTTACTTTTCCTGTTGTCCACTTACACATGTATTATATTTTTGAACGAGATTATCATATTCCTTTGTTTTTTCTCTCTATTAATAATTTAAATCAGAAATTTAGTTATTTAAATTTTCTATATTTTCATTTTTGATAGCCAATTAGAAATTCATTTCTTTATTTTAAACAGTTAATTGTTCTAATCTATCATCTATTTTAATTAAATATTATAAATATAATAGTTTTACTTAAATCTTTTAAAGATTAAACTAAACTTTCAATAGACTCTTATCCTGTTTTTCTTAAATTTTCTTAAATTTCTTAAGCCTCAGCTACTTTGCTTTTATAATTTTCAATATCTGCTTCCATAACTTTACAATAATTTATTAATTTAGTTTACTCTTTTTCTAAAATCTTGTAATTATTTGCTAATTTTCTTATAAAATCTTTTACTTTTTGTTATATATTTTCAGATTCGAAAAAATCTGTATTTATTATAATTTTTTCAGCAGCTTTTAATTTACTTGAAGAAATTTCCTTTTTTTTTATTTTTATATATATAAAAAAAAAAAATAACGAAAAATACTTACGTTTAATTTTTTGACATATTCGAAATTTATTAATCTTAAATTCTCATTTTCTTTATTTAGTTTTAAATTTTAATTCTATACTGTATTAAATTATTCTTATAAAATATTTAATTTTTAGTTATAATATTCATTTTAATTTCCTTCTATTTATTGCCATGAATCCACTTGGGGATATTTTTTACTTATAGGCGATTTTTGGACTTTTTTTTTTGAAGGAGTTACTCCTCTAGAATTAGGAGTACTTGTTTTCGTCTGTTTATATTATTAATTATTTGAAATTGCTAAAGTTTTTAAGGATTAAGTATTTTAATAATCACTCCTTATTATTAAATTTTTATTTATTTTTTATTTATTTTTATTTTTATTTTTAAATATTTTATTCCTAAAAAAAAAAAAAAAAAAAGTTTTTTTTTTTTTTTATTATTAAATTAATTACATAAAATAAACAAATTAAAAGTTTTTTTTTTTTTTTTTTCATTTATTAAAATCAATTTTATTCTAAATCATTTTATTATTATTTTTACTTTCCTATATATTATGGCTAAAATTAATTATTTTATTTAAGAAATTCCAATTTTAAAATTTAAGAGGAATTCAAATAATAGTTTTTCGTATTTTTTTTTTCATCATATTCAGAAATACATTATTCATTTTTATGTAAAAAAACAAACCCGACTTTTTGATTTTCCTCATTATTAAGATTTTCTAATCTAAAACTAATTTTAAGATTTTATCCTTTTTATAAAAATAATTATTCTAATTAATTAAAACTATTTTCCAATTATTAATCTAACAATTTTTAAAGCTCAGAGTTTTTTATAGATTTATAAATACCTATTTAACTTTAGCTTTATATATATTAGTTTTGGACTTCTTTAAAAACACTATTACTAATATTTACTTTTTAAAATAAATTAATTATATAATATTGTCTGCTTATATTTTCTATTTCTTCTTTTTTTTAATCTTTTTTAAATTGTTTATAGATTTAATAAACTCATTTATTTATATGCCTATTTCTTTTTCTTATTATGAATATTTTTCAATTTATTTATTTATTTCTTTATTTAAAATTGTCAAATTTAATTCTTCTTATTGTTATTAGTTTAGATTTTTTATTTCGAAAGTTTAATAGACTTTTATATTTTTTCCTTATATATTTTTTTCAGTAAATTAAGAGTTTTGCTTTATTATTAATTTTAAAGGAGGAATATCTATATTTGCATTATTTTTAATGTTAAATGTAGCAATAATTGAGGATATATATATATGGTATTTATATTCTTTTATACTTTCTTTATATTTTTGATATAAAATTAATAAGAATGATACATTTTCTATTTCTTTTACTATGTTACCTAAATAAAAATATGATAAAATTCTCTCAAATATTTAAATGGTTATTTTTTCTTAGTTTTAAGTTAAACTTTGGAATATTTTTTTTGTTAAAATATCGTTATATATATTAGATTCTTTTAAATTCTTATTTTTTAATGTATATTAAGATAGTTATATATATATATATATATATATATATATATATATATATATATATATATATATATATATATATTTATTATTACTAAAAGTAACTACTATATATAATCTAAAGTTAAATCAGAATTTATCAAATTCTACATAATTTAAGTCTATTAAGAATCGTTAAATAAAAAAACTATTTTTAATTTGAGTTTTCCAATTTAAATAAAATAAATAAAAAATATAATTACATGGTTATAAGGCATAAACATTCAGTTTATCTTCTCTAAAAATAGATTCATATTTAATCATTACTTAGTTAATAAAAGGTTAAAAGTAATATACTTATTAAAATCCTAATATTTTAAAAATAGCCTTTAATAAACAAAATAATTATATTTTAAAAAATAAAATAAAAATAATACAAACAAAGTTTTAAGAGACAGCTAATCGAAAACATAATAAGCTAAAATACTTAATGTAAATATCTTTTAATTTTAATATGTTTTTTGATTATAATAATTATATTATTAAACAAAAGCTTAAATAACATTAAGAATAACTTCGTTATTTTCGAAAATGTTTCTATTCATTAAAAAAGCTCCATCATTAAAATAAAAACAAGATAATAAATTTAGACTAAAATTTTCATATAATGGCCAATTATAAATGCCTTATTTATTCAAAAATATAATACTATTAATTAAAAGTTATCCGTAAATTATTTTAGTTGATTTTTATATTTTCTAAAGGTAATTTTTTTAATGTATTTTATTAGTTGAAATATCCACTTCTAAAAATTAAACAATAGAAGGGATATAAATAGAATCTAAAATATTATTAGTTAGAATATTTTGATTAAAATACTACACAATATCAGTTTAATGAATAATTTAATTAATTACTGGAGTTTCAACTATATTTTTAAGAATATAATGCATGAAAAACATTTTGATATCATTCTTATCTTTTTTAGATGATTCTGCTTTATAATAAATACTTGATAGATGGAATACAATTTAAATAAAGGAATTTTTTTGGAAATTTTTAACATTTTTTAGAATATAATGTCCAGAGTGTTTATTATGAGTTAATTATCATTTATATGTATAAAATTATTATCTAAGAACTGTGCAAAGTTTGTGAGATTTTCTAATTGAAATTTATTTTCGTCATTTATTAGTACTTTTATTAATACTTATGTTATTTTTTTAGATATTTCCTATCTTTAAATTTCATCTTTGTATATATATTTAAATGAATTCGTTATCTAACCTATTTTTATTATTAATTAAAAATAGGAAAGGATTTTTGATTAAAGGAAACTTTCTATCAAGGAAGAAAATATTTTTACGTGTAAATCTGTGAATGGCATATTTTAATATTATTATTATTACTGATTATTTATTTAATTATATAATATGTATTAATTTTCTTTAAATTTATAACTTAAGTTTACGACAAAGTCAGTTATTATTTATCTATTTTCTATATTAATTTTTAAATTATCCTTTTGTTATTTATAATATATTTATTTAAATATATTATTTTTTACAATATTATCAGCTATAATTTATAATAAAGCATCACTTTTTTAAATTTAATTAATGATTAAATTAGATATATTAATAGCAGTAATAACTTAGTTTTTAAATTAACCTTAAACTAATTTATTTTAGAGAGTTTATTAAATGATTCTCAAAGAATTTTAAATGGTTTTTTATTTTTAATTTTGGAAAATAAAGCTTTCATCGAATAAAAAGTTTGTTAATTTTGCAATCATTAAAATTTATCTAATATCTTAAAAAGTAGTAGTATTTTTTAAAATATTATTATAAAGTTCATAAAAATAGTTGATATTTAAATATATATTCGAATTTTTAAATGTAGCAATTATTAAATAAATATCTCTTAAATTAGAATAATTCCATTAGAAATCTTCATATATAAGTTTTGCTATTTTTTCGTTTATTTATATATTTTTTAACATAAAAAATTAAAGAATATTTATTAATTATTTCTTAGTTATTTCTTTTATATTTTCTTGTAATTTATTTTATAAGTCGACTTTTATTTTTTATGTGATTTCTTAATCGCAATAATAAAAAGCCAAAATAAATCTTTCGAATTCTTCCGAAGATAATTCTTCGGTTTGTTTTTTTTTTCAATTTATTTCGTATATATTTCTATAAAAATTTAGGACATTTTTTATATGTTTTCTTTAGTTTTTGGTGTATAATTTGCATTAAATTATTTCAAAAAACCTAATATATTAGCCAATTAAAGCCAAGAAACAGGCTCTTAATGATGTAAAATAATTATAGTATATTATTCATAGAAAAGTATTTCATCAGGAAGTATTACTTTGCAATATTTTTTAATATTAAAAATACATTTAAGAACCGAAATTAAATTTTCAATATTATAAACTTTTTATTTTATTTTTGTTACAATTTAAAAAATATAATAAAAAAACATAAATAAATTTTTACAATTGATTCCAATAATAATTTATTTCCATAGTTTGACAATTTATAAATCTTAAGACCATTTAAAAAATGAAAGATTATGAAAAAAGCTAATTTGATTAGCCAAAATATGTGTTATTTATAGTACTTTTTAATTCACAATAATCATTTTATTAAGATTTTTCATAAAGTGCTTTAAATTATTTGTATATAATTAATTAAACTCATTTGAAATGTTTATTAATTAAGAAAATGCGAATCTTAATCTTTCCCCTTTTACATCAAATATATTTGAACATTAAATATTTTCATAAAAATCTAAAAACTTGTTCCTTTATATATATTAATTTAATTCTTTTGAAACCTATTAATTACCTATATTTTCTAAATAATTTTCTTATTAATTAAATGCGTAATTTTCAACGAAAATAATGTTTTAACCAACTTAAGGTTACATATAATCAACTAAAAAACCCACTAAATAAGCTATTGAGGGAATATTTTCGATTTTTTTTGCTAATATACTCACTTTGTCTATTTAGAAGGGTTATTCTTAATAATCTTCTACTTTTTAAGTTTAGATTAAATTTTATTTTTATAAATTTTCTTGGAGTAAATGAATTTCTTTATCTTTTAAAGCTTTATAATCTTATTAAATGACTAATTCAGGTTTTTTTTTACCAGTTGCTTTTGAAATTATGGCTTCTAATAATAAATCATGTTTCATTTAAGGCTTTATTCGTTATTTTATTGCTTCTTAACGGAGATCATAATATGATAATAAAAATAAATTTTAAATGAATTTTTTTTAATCTTTTGTATATTGGGTATCTGCTATATATTATTTAAGTAAATTTTATAATCCGGATTATTTTGAAATATTTTATTGAATTGAATTTGTTAATTTTTTTGGAAATATTTTGAAAAAGGTGTCATTTTTATAAATTATATATTTTAATATTATATACAAAAGATTTTTTTTATTTTTGTTAAATTTTTTTTTTTTTTTCATTACTAGAATTACTTTTGTTTTTTATTTAATTTTTTTATTAATTTTAGTTTTGTTTTTTTTGTTTTTTTTTAATTAATTTATCTTTTTAAGTATTTATTTGGAAGTAATTTTAAAGAAATATTTTTCTTTTTTATTAAGAAGTTTTTTATATTTTATCTAAATAATATTTTCAATTAATTGGCTTCTTTAAAGCTATTTCTGTTTTTTTATATAATAAATAATTAATTAAATTATTTATATAATAATTATTTTTATTTTGTTAATACAGAAAAAATTATCATACTTAAATAATTGTTTAGTTTAAAAAATTAAATAAAAAAATAAATGAGCTTTTTAAATATTAATAAAAAACTGTAATCATTAAAAGAAAAAGAAAAATAAATTTATGAATTTTATGATCCTGAAAAATATCACAAAAAACAACATATTCATATCGAAGATTTAAGAAAAGATCATTAAGAAGATATATAAAATTATGG